AAGTGATATAAGTTGACACAAACATCATTCTATCTTTGTATTCCATGAGTAACGAAGATAGATCGATGCTTTACTTGTATTGATTTATGTTATCATATGGAAAACACTATTTACGTAAAAATGAATTTTTAGTACAAAAATGAAAATAAGAGATACAACCTCTAATTGATCTTGATCTCGACAAATATTATTCAAGATATGATTCTGAACAACATTCAAAAGGTTTTAATCATCGATCAGACATCTTGCGCAATGCTAATGCCGGCGATACTGTAACATTCGAGCCTTATAACTCGAGAAGTAGGTACTTAACGAAAAAATATTTTATTCTAGTGTTTTGGAAAGCTCTCGAAGTAAGCTACAAGAATATGCAATGAAAAATGGAGGTTCAAAAATAAAAAAGTTATTTGGGGTGGGACATTAAAATGGGACATCCCAAATAACTTTTCCCCCCTTTTTCACTATAATAAAATTTTTTCGTTAAGTACCTACTTCTCAAGTTATAAGGCTAGAATCTTACAATACTGGCATTAGCATTATGCAAGGTATTTCCCTGTATAGATTATGTTTACACGACTTGATTTATGCTGAAATTATAACATCGATATTATGAAATTGCCCAATTGTATCTATTTTTCTAAAGAATGAAATGACTTATTATTTGAATATACGTAATATATATATGTATATGTGTGTGCGCGCGCGCGCGCGCGCGTGTGTGTGTAATTTCAATTCATTTGCTTTTCATAGTTGATATTTCACTGAAGTGTACGAGTATATACAATATGTGGATTAAAATAAATTTAAATGATCGTACAGAACAGTGATCCTCGCAAAATGTAGCAATAAAATACAACCTGACGATATCAAAATGCTAGGCTTCGATTTTCTTTATAAACTCTTTGTGTTCGGATCCTTCTGGTCTTTCTGACATGTTAGTAGTAGAACAATGCTAGCAGTAAATTTACAACACAGCCTAAGTAGTTTGCTACTGCTAACAGCTGATACGGTTGGCGCATGTGCATCTTCAGCTCCGAGTGACAAATTCGATCTTTCTCGATTTTTTTCGAGTTAGATTTATCGAAGAATAAGAAGGACTATTGTAAAATTATATTTTCGATATTATTTTATTCGATTTTTATTAAAACGAAAAACTTCCAATTTTTTAGTCCATATACAAATTATGCTTTTATCAATAAATGCACGCTTGTATTTTTGGAATTTTATGGACCAGTCTCATCAACTTCAATTAACCGAATCAGTCGATTAAATATTAACCGTGATTAATCAATTCTGTTGAATAGCAAGTGCGATTGATCAGTTCCAATGTAACAATCGGTGATTAAATTGAAGTTAATGAGCTAATCCTGTAGTATCTAGGGCCATATTCGTATATTAGCCAATTGCCAGTACTGGAAATCTATAGTTCCGTTACGTATACTATATTCTGTTCAATGAGAGAATGATTTCGGTTTACGCAAGCGATGTAATACTGTACAATAAAGACCTGTTCAAAACGAGTTTTCATCCGATCCGAGGTCATTCTCTCATCAGGTCATTAAACAGAGTATATACTGTATTGACAACTGGCAGTAATATATTATCTAGGCATAGCCTAGATAATAGGTGTTTTCCAGCAAGGACACAGACACTGTGTAACACAGTGTATCATTTTATCCTTTTTTAACGTAGGCAAACAACAAGAATGTAATGATTCACTGTGTTATGACACTTGTATGTGACTGCCTTGCTGAAAAACACCCAATATCGTATATCAACATGTGTTAATCCATGATGCACTATGCACTTAATATTACTGTTGCCAAATCTATTCGAAAGTTATTCCTTATATTGCAATTTTCTCAATATTTTAGCTATAATCTAAGCTTTTTTGTATCTTCCTTTTGAAAACTCACTTGAAAATTCTCCTAAACTTTTTGTACTTCCCAAAAATTTTCCAGTAAAAACAAAAAATCTTCAAATCTAAAGAAATTCTACTAAATTGAAAATACTAGTTAATATGCAGTTTTCAGACAACATCGATTATATTCCAAAATTCATTGCCAGCGCTGAAAGTCTACAGTTTACGTTACGTATACTATATATTTTCAGGACTTATATAGCAGTGAATTTCGGAACACAACCATCATGTCTGGAACAAAATGCGAATAAAACGTCTCGAAAATATTTTAATAATTGCTTTAAAACGTCTTATAATACAAGTATAATTTAAGGAGATGCTAGAGTGGCCAAATTATTGGGACTTTGCAGATCAATATAAATTTTCGAATTTACTAAACGAAATAAAAAATCATTTTACAGGATTAAAGTATAGAAATATATATTTAATATAATACGCAAAATTTGGTAGTGCTGCAATAGATTTTTTATTAAAATAAAAAAAAGTTAAAAACTTACATTTTTTTTCAACTTGTAGAGCTGCAGTCATTGGACGTTTCTTTAATAAAAGGCTAATTCTACAATGTACTCTTTGTATCCTGCTGTTTCTTGCTGTTTGTCTCTTGCCTTTTTGGTCAATAAGACAAAAGATAAACAGCAAAAAACAAAAAACAAAAAGCACATTGTAGAATTAGCCTTATAGCTCGTATGGACTAGAGTGGGTAAATCCGGATTTACAATAGGTGATTTATTCCTCATTGCAGAATTGCGCAATGAGGAATTGGCGGAACGCTCGTGATTGGTCATGGCTTCATCCCGCTGATTCCGCCGCTTTCTATTGCGCAAATTTCTTTTGCGGATTCCGTCAATGCCTGTATGTGTGCGTGTACATATGTATACTTATAAAAACTAACCTCATTAAGCTGGTTTAAATGGAGAAAACTGTCTCCTACAAGCGCATGGTTATAATCAACATGCTGAGGCGTGTTTGGATTCTCATGTTCTTCGGGTGTTATGTCATCCTTGTTTAACATTTGGTAAATAACAAGAATGGAGTGATAATGAAATTTCAACATAATCCTGAAGGTAATTAATTAAGTCCCCAGATAAACAGAGGTCAATATGATCAGAACACGAATGTTGTATATGTAGTATACAGAAAGATGAAAATATAAATCAAAATCAAAATGGGTACAAAATGAAGTCGGGGGCAATGTCCCTGTACATATGTGTGATTTCCGATCCGCAGGAATTTCCTAGGTCCCATAGAGCGGAACTTGCAGATGACGCAATCAATGCAAGTCAATGACAAACGCTATTCTGGTGGATCTAATGATCTATGGGAAAGTTCTTGTGATTGGTCAACACTAATTGCGTATTCTGGAAATTCTGTGCCATGGACACTGGGACATAGCAAAATATATAATATTTTAGAGGAATCGACGGAATGAAGTCATGACCAATCACAAGCATTCCGCATTGCGCCAATTCCATGAGATCGTACCCTTAGATTTGATTGCACCAATGTTACTTTGATTTTAAACGAGGCTTAAAACTCTGTCTCTGTCTCTCTTTCGGTATTAAAACGAGACAGAGAGAATTTTAAGTCTCGCTTAAAGTCAAAAGGTTTATTCACATCGCATGCTCCAAATTAATCCAGAAAGCTTGGATCACAGATAAAATGGCGGTTGAAGCAGTTGGATCATGTGCAACAACATTCAGTAACACGAACGGATTTAGGACAAGTGAATATGTCACCTAACTTAATCCGTGAGATTACTCGAGCGAGTCGGAGTATACGGTAATTGCCCTCGGTTCAATTTTACACAGCCAATCACAGCGCTTAAAACAAATTTAAAAAATTCCTTAAGCAGAGATTGCTGTGATTGGCAGTGAGCAATTGCTACAGTGCGCAATTGCACCGCAATCCCAGCGCGACATTTGCCTCGGATATTTTGTGTTACCTCGATTTATTTGAAAAGTGTTTTTATACAAAACAAATATGTTTTTAATAAATAAATATAAAAGTTATATTATATTTTATTTTACTTTTTTATTTTATTTTTTTGTTTATTTTATTTATTTATTTATTTATTTATTTATTTATTTAGTTATTTATTTATTTATTTATATTTTATTTTATTATTTTATTTTATTATTATTATATTATATTATGTTATATTATATTTTTATATTTATATCAAAAACGCATTTATTAAAAAAATGCATTTTTATATAAAATAAATGAATCTGAAATACTTTTTTCGATATACTTGTAGTACATTTTCAATCATAAGGATATATCCACACAACTTGCATAGTCGCATAAACATATGCATAAAGAAAATTATCCAATCACATTTCCTTATATAGACGCACGTAAAATGTAATTGAATAATTTTCTTTGTGCGGTTATACAAGTTTATGTGAATAACTTTACGCATGCGTAACATACCCTAACTGTATCACCTTTTGAGATGAGGCAAATGGAGCCCATGGAGCGCCCATGGAGTATGCTCTAACGCGACGCGAATATATAGATTGTGTTTCAAAATTTATTGCTAGTACTGAAAATCTGTAGTTTACGTCATGTACTATAAATTTGTACTATAAATTTTCAGTCCTAGCAAATCTTGAAACACAGCCTTAGTCATTATATTGGTTCCGGTGACGCGAACCAAAGACATAGAGCATACGAACTCTAAGAGAAGACTCGGAATGGTAAACAAAGCAATAATTGAGTCTAACAGTAGGTGTTCGATTTTCCAAGAGATGGCGTTGCAATATGTTACATAAGGACAGACAAATGCGTTGAGTGAGAAACAATGATATGTAATAAATATAAGAAATGAAAGAAAGATGTCTATTCGTCAAATTTTTGGAATTAAAAAGTCTGTACTATCGATTAAGTTCGGCCGTGCATTGTTCTAGCATTCCCTTAAAAGTTAATTATTTGTTAATTGCTAATGAATAATTCTACTAGATAAGTTAATAATCATCGGTCGAGTTAATTGTCGAATCTGATTAAAAGTCACTAATTTTGACTCAAGATGGCACCGTGTCGCAGACACCATGCGACATCTGCGAACGGGATTTACGGAAACGATATTTATTCGCCAATATTCGCGAGACTGTCGGAAGTTAGATTCTCGGGTCGTTTAGACACGTAGATGTTCCGAATAGGTGGACTGCTGACTCGTGCGATTGTTTGTTGCTGTCACTGACGTGTAGATCACCACTGGAGTATCCTGTGCGTCGTCGTACGGAGCGTGCAGCGTGTAAGCGTAATTAAAATTCGGCTCGCCCGATTTAGATCTTCATGATACGAACAATAGCGGTGTCATCCGGATGACGATGTAATTTACCTGACCAAATCGTGTGACGTCGCGCTGCATGCGGAGAGAAAAAATTGCTTACACACGTCGTTCAGACATGGATTCGGAACCGAAATTCTCGCTCGTTGACGTTTACACGTCAACGGCTCGTGAGTTCATTTCTCGTCCAAAAAGAAATAACTTTCCTGTAGAAAGCCTGGCTACTTTCACTTTAGAAACGCGCGATGTTTTCAACATACAAAGGCGCACCTTTTTTTTTTTGATCGATCATTCTGTAGGCTGCATAATTTCCACGCTTATTTAAATAAATTTAAAAAACAGATTTCTTCCGAAATTCAACAATATTAATATTTCCATTGAGAAAGTCGATCTTAAAATTAGATGGAAATTATAAAAGTGAATTCTCTAAAATATTTGTAATTTTATATATTGGTTAACATCTTGTCCAATTTTGTAATTTTTATTATAAGTTAAACAATTGACTCTTACATGTTGATCAATGAAATTATAAATATTTCAATAAATTTCAGTAAATTTGCTCACTTTTGTAATTTTCACTTTGTTCCAAGATACGTAATCAATCCTAAATTCTATTAATATTTCCATCGAGAAGAGAAAGTTAATTGTGTCGGTCTAGAGATTGATTATATATCTTGAAATAAGATGAAAACAAAATTGAGCCAATTTACTAGATACTGAATAATAAAATATATAAATAAATAATAAATTGTAAATATTCTAATATATTCACACATTTTTATAATTATTACCTTGTTTCAACATATATAATCAACTTCGAGGAAATAAATTTTCAATGCAAACATATTTTTGTATACATGTTGACATAATTTTTTTTTATCATAATTTACTCTTATTTCTGTTCCTTTTTAGCGTCAGGATGGTGGATAACGTAAGCAACGGATCCAGTGACTCATCGCCACAAATCGAAAAGGGATGGCCAGCCCTGAAACAGCATATTGTAGACAATAAGATTAAATTTGGATTATGGGTCACCAGACTCTTCACCATAATATTCACCATCGGTTACATTATTCCTATATTTGGGTATTTATGTCTTTCATAACTTTAGAATTAGAACAACACTTACTTTTTATGAAGTTCCTTAATCCAAGCAGAACAACAAATCTTGAAAATGCCAAAATGGTATTAAAATGAAACATAAATGATTGAAAAGTGACTTTTAGTAATTATATTGAAGTCATTTTGATGATAACTTGTGTTCTGTTTGAGAATCTTTTGGAACTGCCAAAACATAGTTACTAGTTAATGACACTAGGTCTATGGAATTAATATATGTTAGTCGACAAGATAGGAAAGCCACTATATAGTGGCGCTGAGACAATGACATATTTTAAAGCATGAAATAATATGTACTGCGTTTCTATTTCTCTTGTAATTCTTTTTGTTACTTAATTTTTTAACTTTGTCGTGCAAAAGATATCGTGAAATATAATAATAATATATGAATAAGATATAATAATAATATCTGAAATCATATAATAATAATAATGAAATAATGAATTATAACAAATATTATTCAAGAAAAAACTGAAAGATTTAAAAAACTTAGATTTTCATCCTTTAAAGGTTAAAAGGCATTAATTTCCAAGAACTTACAAGGAAAGTTAGAAACTTGAGGAAAATGATAAAGGAATGAATGTTAAGAATGTTTTAACAAGAATAATCCTAATTTTTATGCAAATGTAACATAAAAAAATAGAATTATTTGATATTTTCTACAAAGAGGTCTATTAGATGGATTCAATAAACCCATCATTAATTCCAAAGGGATATATTCAGCGGATCAAATAGACTTAACCTCAGAGAATTAAATTATGGTTTTGTTTCAGGAATCCCTATAATATATACTATAAGGTATTAATGAATAATGCGGCAACTAGTGCGTTACGTCTGCATCAAAGAGTTCCTCGCGTTCAGCTCACAAGACAATTTTTGGAGACGTTGCTGTTGGAAGATTCGTGCCACTATTTATTCTACTCTTTAATATTTTTGTACGCGGCGCCAGTTACATGTATCCTTCTCATATTTATGTAATCTGTTCAAGCAATTTCTTAAATATTTCATATCGCTCTCCTAATTCAAAAGTGACAACTAAAAAAAAATGTAACTTTCAAGTTATTATCATGAATGAGCTAAGTACAAAATTACCATATCCGACATTAATAACTTAACTTCATAAAAATTATCAAAATGGTACAAGTAAAAAAGGATAGTTTAAAAAAAAAATCGCAATTTAAACAATTTTTTTAAGGATTGCAAAATGATAATGATAGAAATGACATTTGATTGTGTTAAGAATATATTCTTTTTGTTGATATTATTTTGATTAGTTAATTTTCTGTCAAGTTTAAAAATAATTTTTTTCTTTTTCTGAGAATTGAATTTTTTGGTGTCACTTTTAAGATAAAAGAGCGAATTATTTTAATAATAATAAAATTGAATCCTGAACTGTGATTCGTATAGTGGTGCTCACACCAGTTTTTCTTTTTGCTCTGATGCACATGGCTAGTTATTCTCTTACATTGCTAGATGTAAGTAAACAGACTGATTATGCAATATGTACATATGCAAAAAGATTATACCTTATGATTGTCTGCATAGTCATAATAAGAATGTAAGTTGAACTTATGATCTCTGTCTCAGTGTTTAGGACATAATAGCTGGTGGGGCGCTCGTCTGTTAATATCTTTGGTGGAATTTCAATCACGGAATATCCTTCGTCTGTGTGCTCTATCGGAAATCATAATCTTACCATTTACCGTTCTTCTAGTATTCACGTATGTATCACGATTAATTATTTTTTGTCGCTTTAGTGAGCTGCATTAAAATTTCTATTAAATATATCTACTTCATTTTAAGTTCAACAAGTGTATACTAGTTTAGTTACAAAAAACAGACCTACAGTCGCATCGTAATTCATGCGATATGAATTATAATCGAGAAATCGTATTGCGATTTTTAAACATCTCTTATATTTTTTTTTACAGAGGACGCGCCGGTTTACTGACTCCCTTTGTCTATTATCAGTTTTTGAAACTACGTCTTGCATCTCAAAGAAATCCATTCACGCGTAACGTATTTTACGAACTCAGAAATGGATTGAGCTCGGTGTCGAAAAAGCCGGCCGTGCCGGACATCGTTCGAAGGATGATCGACGGTCTGCTTTCTCTGACCCAACAAATGGCGCCAGTGCGTCAATAATATCTATATTATTTACGATATTAAATTCTTCAATTATTTTTCATATTGTCTCTCAAAGACAGATCTCCTAGGGTTCTAGGGTCCACTCAGCGACGCTTTCATGAATTAGTGTTAGCGCAAAGTGAGTGCAGACATAAAAATTCATAGTGAATGTTATATGAATTATATAATTTGAAATATCTATGAAAACAATCAAAATATGTGAACAATTTCTTACTTTATGCTCATTTACTACTAAACGTTAAGTGAAAATGTGAGGATTTGTACTAATTATAAATATAAAATTTATAAGTTTTAAAGATTTAACCTAACTCTTAATAACTTCGTTAAATTTTGGATTGTATTTTTTAGTTTGTATTGTATTTTTTAAATTTAATGGCCATTCTACAATAAGCTATTAGTCATAAATCAGAAGTTAGAAGCTAGTAATTGATAACTGTAATTGATCAATTCCAACTTCTAATTTTTCTGATTTAAGAGTAATGATTTATTGTGTGTGGAAGGCCCATTACATTTAAATAGAAATATAATTATGCACATATATTAACTTTATGATTTAAGTGTAATTTTGAACCATAAATTTGTAACTAGTAAGATAATGGTGTATAATGAAGTTCACTGATTAATGGAGTTTAATGTTGATTAAATATCAACTCTTTTTTTTGATTGGTTTCGCACAGTTTTGCGGTATTGGGAAGTATTGTGTATAATATCTAGTATATAAGTTATTAAAATTTATATTTCTGAATTACACGGAATGGTTGACCTGTCACTTTTTGGAATAAGCTCTGGAATAAGTTTAATGTTTAATACATGTCATATATGTTTATTTTACCAATTGTTATTCTAATGTAAATTTGTTTATCTTCTATTGGATACTTGGATATTTATGTTTAAAAATAATTCAGAATGGTTTTATAAATGAAAATAGTTATCGGATATACTGTAGCAAATATTGTGAAAAATATTAATAAATCTTTTTAAATAAAAAATAAAAATATCTCTTTAAAGTAGATATTCTTACTTGCATGAATCCTTTTTTTAATATGTTGAAAAAAATGTTGGAAATAAAACACAACACAAATCTTATTTTTTGTATTTATTTTTTAAATGCATATAAATGCATTTAAATTACTGTTATACGGCGAGAGGAGTAGGTTGAGGTACGTCTTTTGAAGGTTTCACCTCGGAGATTGGCACTGATGGCGGAACCTCTTCTTTCGGCTCCACAATCGATACATAATCAGGAAGAGGCTTTTTCGGGCCGCTTTTGCCATTGGGATCCCACGGTAGCATAATTTTGACTTTGATTCCCAATACTCCTAAAATATATTATAAACATAACATATAATATGAAAAATACACATGAATGAGTTCATAAAATAAATGGATATAAAATGAATGTCTGAATATATGTACATTCTAATATCAAGTCTTTATGAACAGCAAAATGTTTATTTTGTATATCTTGAAAACTAACGTGGTTAGAATAATGTCACGACAAAATTCTAATTGTGCAAAAGAGGTACTTGAGATTCATCGTTTAGTTTTTTTGCTGTAAAACAGGTAACGATTCTATTTCTTTATATTCCGACTAGAAGATATTAATGATGCAATTTTATTTAAATTAGAATCTGGAAATTCTTGTTCTACACTTTTCGTGATATGACAATTGGCGTTGTAACATTATTGTATGAAGCATCTTCACATAGAAAAGAACATGTTTATTTAATTACAACACCCAACTGTTGAATTTAATGTCAACTAGATGTAACTCTGCGTTTTAAGAATATTATTGAATTACTGAAGATGGCCAGATTGTGGCCGAAACCGTTTAATGTTTTAATTAATGTATTGTAATAATAATTAAATATCACAAACTATAACTTGTGCTGTGGTTTTTTATGCTCTTCTTTTTATATGTTTATTTTGTAAGTAGAAAGTTTTCTTTACTGAGATGGGACTATTCTTCTAGATGTAAAAGTATAATACAATTAGCAAAGCAATTAGCGAAGAAAACTTCCTAGTAATTTCAAAATAAACGTGGTTATTACTACACACACATTGATCATTTCCATTGAAACCATCAATTCAATGCAGATTAAATTTAGAATATTGTTTCCATAATAAAAACTGTGGATTGAAATGGGAGTAAAACAAACACATTTCCATCGAATCAAATTTGATTCTATGCTTCGATGGAAATTATTGTTAGTCAAAGTAATCAATGTGATAATACAATCGTACCTTGCCGTAGGAGTACATGCCTGGTAGCAGTGTTCACGTACTCATTAGTCGGCTCACCCGAGTGGATCATAAGACCATCAACAAATTTCATCGATTTTGCTCTTTGACCACGTAATTTGCCACTGACAACGACCTCGCAGCCTTTTGCGCCAGATTCCATGATAAAACGCAGAACACCATAGCACGCCCTGGTAATAAAATAATATTTAAAGAAAAGATATAATTAGAAATAATAAAATAAATAGATGTTGTTAGGAGTAACAAGATAGATGAAAATAAAGCAGATAAAATTCTGACTTACCTTCGTACGGCAAGACCTCCAATCAGCTTGTAACGAAGAGACTCTGCCTGTGCGATGGCACACAGACCACGTGTAGCCACTTTCTCTGCATACAACTCAACATTCTGGGGTTCTTTGAAGTTGAAACGCTTCTGTACCACAGACGTCAGTTCCCTAATTCTACGGCCTTTCTCGCCGAGCACGCTCTGTGTGTGGGTAGCCAGTAAAATAATCTCAGTTCGATTCGGTGTTACTCGGACCTCCACACCAGAATACCCATCTTCTGCAAGCTCACGAGTCAAGAACTCGTTCAATTCTGCTCTGAAGACACCATCGCCTACAAACTGAAAATAAAAGAAAAATCTGAATATATATAAAACACAAAATCTCTTATTCTTTACATTAAATAGCATAAATATATATAATAATTTAATTTATTCAGACTATCCATTAGATTTAATATAGATAATCCATTATATAAAGAGAACTATATCATAAGTTTGTAACAGGAATAAATTGCACGAGCTATATTGCTTATTATAGATACAAGTGGAAAAGTAAATAAAATAAAAATTAATGGAAGTTTATTAATTTATTTTATAGGTTATACTTGAAATAAATATAATGCAAACATCAAATATGTAATTTCAGGATATTACAAAAAAAAAATCACAATATACCGAATTCCATCTACTAGAAATATATACATTTTAAGTAATTCTGAAAAAGAACATGTGGAGTTGAAAAATCCACGCGAGAACGACGTTGGAATCCATGACATCCGCGGACCGCGGTGACCGCGTTCATCCAATTTTCGGCGAAATATTGCCGCACAAGTTTCCCGCATTGCAACAATGAGAATATTTTTGCGTATTGCACATGATAAATTCTGAGGATCGCTAACCTTCCTCTTCTTAGATATTGAACGATTCTCCATCACTGCCTCATATCTTAGCGAAGCCAACAAAAGAAATCAAAGGATCGAAAAGACCTGTCTAGGGGAGAAACCCGGAGAAGTCGATCGAAGCGCATGCGCTACGTATTGAATTCAACAATGGGAAAAAAAACCCTATTAGTGACGCCATCTATTACAACGTATTATTGATTATTGCTACTGTTGATAACAAACATGTTATCATTATGAAATAGATGGCTTTAATAATCTGTATCTCGTCTACGCGTGATACAGATTACTAAAGCCATCTTTTGGAAAAATAATGAATTTCTTTTTACTAACCTACACCTAATATATATCAGAGAGAAACCTGAGAGTAGCCATTTTAGCCTAAAAACATCTTATATTATGCAAAATGTTAATTATGTTTTATTAAAGACAATTACTACTAAGCGTAAAAATTTTATATAAAAAGAGATGGAAGTATTAATAGATTATATTATATGTGTTTAATTTATGTTAACTAATAAAATTTATTAAAAGAGATTAATTTTTAAAGAATATTTAATTTAACTCTCTGTACATACATTTTTAATATTATTTATCTATAACGCTCAATTGATAATATATTTCTATGATGAACAGCAGACAGCAGTAAATAACATGTAATCGTCTCAAAAGAAGGCGCCACTGACATGATTTGTCTCATACAATTGCTCTGGATGAATTGCAGCCATTTCTGATAATTTTTAATTTAAAAAATGCATAGATATTACATGTCTAATAGACATGAATCAAATGACTGTACTTTTTTCTATTGGCAATTCAAACGGCGATTTAAAATGGCATTTATAGAATTGCATGATGCATTTCTGTATACTGTTTCTTGATTTTCTTTTATTATTTCTAAAACATTGAATATACGTACTTATTTAATTTTGCATAGAATGAACTAAAATACAGGTTCATTAAATAATAAAAACAAAAACCCATTTTAATTTTTTCGATCGATTTTTTTAAAAACCTTTTTTGACAAAAATATTTAAAAATATAATAATTTATTGCCAATATATTTTAAATCATCATTTGTTTTTATAAACTCTCCATTGAAAAATTGTAATAAGATAAAGTTTTAAAATTGGTTGAAAAAGAAAACATTTTGTTAAAGACGTATATTTCACTATTCATTATTTAAACGTTATAAATGTCTTAATTAAGTCAAAATAAATTTAAAATAAAAAAAATTTTTAATTATATTTTTCTTCTCAACTAAAGAATCGATCTTGTCAATTAAAGAATCGATTCTGAATTGTTTCCTGAGTCGGACCGATCGAAATCGATCCATTTAGAAATCGGAGCTGAATGAATAGATCTGTTAAAAATCGATTTAATTATAAAGAATCATATTAATTTTTAATATGTTAATTTTTAATAGTATGATATAATTTTAATAAAAGCGATAAAACAATTAAAATACGATTTTGATTTGTCTCTATATAATTTAAAATAATTTTAATTAAAAAAATTTAGAGGTTTAACAACTCCCACAGTTATTAATTACTAACATAATGTATAATGTATAAATCGTATATGTATAAACGCCGCGTTAAATTAAATTTTATAACTAATATTAATTTAACTAGTATTTATACATTTTGTAATAATTAGTTAATAACTATGGATATATAAACTCGGTTAATGATGATATAAAAACAAAATATGCAACATGTTTTTGTGTCATTTAAAAATTAAGATAAATGACAATTAAGATAAATGACAACCGCTAATTACAGAGTATAATTGCGTTTCACTCAGAAATTTCATCTGAGTATATCCAAATATCTTTTATCTTTGTTTAACATTCGATAAACAAGATAAAATGATATACCTTGAATTCCTAAATATAACTCTGCGATAATAAAAATTTGATTAAATTACTGCGTTCAGGAAACAATTAAGACACAAATGACACAACGTTATAAAAATGTACAGTATAACATACGTAACATAAATTATTCATTTTTAATTATTAAAAGGTTGTTCACAAGAGTATCTAATACTATCGCCATTTTCAAAGATAGCATGCGGATAGCATCCAGATGTTTACTCAACAAGTCTTTAAATACTAGCCATAACACTTGTTATTTGACCACTCTCTACTTATCGCGTCTGCGTCGTCTGTTGCATGACAACACGTACGCACATCACGAACGTGCGTTTTGCCGTCTGCGTTGTCGTTCATGAAACATGGAATGGCGAACAGTGGTGGTGATAGTGCTGATCGTGAGCCTTTGCTTCTTTATCGTGCCGATCAAAGTAGATTTCGATAAAACTGAGAAGGACGCGGAACTGTTCGCCAACTACATAGCCCGATATAATAAATCCTACAGGAATGATCCCGCGAAATATGAAGAGCGATTTGAGCATTTTCAGGTAAAGATTTGTCTGTAAACCGTGATTGTAGGAATAGCTTAGGCTTAAAAGGTTGCGCAATAGCAACCTTGTTGTCCGTTTCGAATTTAACTCACCGTTTATTCTACGTATACATTGACACATTATAATTTAAATTATATAAGTTTCACATTAAGGAACTTTTTAATTAAATGATAATCACTTATTAATCGCATTCTAATATGTAAATACATGCACGCACACGCGCACGTCTATTATGTCACTTGTATTTTCGCTGTGATATATTGTGACACTTTAGCTCTACTGATAGGAGAAGAATAATGATTATTTTGGAAAAACTTTATTTGATAAATATGTTAAAGAAAATAATTTATTATCAATACATATTTTATTATCAATTTATTACCAATATCTTTTCCAATGTTTAATCATCATTCGTCTATAAATTCTGAAAAAAATTGTAATAAGATAAAGTTCTGAAACTGTTTGAAAAAAATTCTAAACCTGAATTTTGTTCAAGTACACATTTCATTGTTATTTATTTAAATATTATAAATGCCTTAATCAATATCTTCGTTAAAGAAATATTAAAACTAAATAATTTTAAAACTGAAAAATTTGTTTTATTTTTATTAGATTCGTTAGCTAAATTAAAATCAATTTTATAAAATATATATATATATTATATATGGCCGTTAATGCTAAAGCAATATCCGTATTTTTCTGACAATAAAGTTTGTTTAATTCTAATTTCAATTTCTAATTACAGTTTTACTGGGCACATTCCATTATATTTACATTTATTAATTTTTTTATAGTTACTGCACATATCATTATTATTATTTTTGTTGTTCATCATACATAGAAAATTTTAATTACACAATACAGAACAATTATATATTCAGAACGTGTACTATGTGTTAAATAAATTATTAATTCATAATAAAAAATAAATATATGTGTACTGTGTACTATAAATTAAGTAATTATGTAATAATAAAATATATCAAAAGATTACGTGATAACATAAATAGAAATTAAATTTTGCAAATTATTTTATACGCAGCTTTCTTTTCTTACAATAATATTAATTAAGGTACGGAATCAATTGCAGAAATCATTGAGACATATCGAAAAGCTAAATAGTTTACGATCGTCGCAAGAAAGCGCATACTACGGGCTAACAGAATTCTCCGATTTATCCGATGATGAATTCATACAACAAGCACTAATTCCAGATTTACCTTTACGGGGTAAGTTTAATTTAAGAAAAATTTAAGGAAAATAATGATTAAATATTTAACTCTCAGTACAAAGGGTAGTGTAATCTCCCCCTCTCCTCCCCGATTTTTGTAGTTCAGATTTTTTCCGACCTTTTCATTTATTGCAATAAAAATATCTTTTGTGCTACGACATTTTAGATTTTCTAACTAAAAAATTCTTTTTTTTCGGTCTTTAAACGATAGATTAAAAAAAAAATTAAAAAAAAGTTAAAATTGATGCATTACAATGAGCAATATAAGCAAGAGAAAACGCTGGGTTACAAATACCCGGATATGAGTAGATAGGGACTTTTTTGAGATGTGGGTACTGAGGGTTAAAATGGAAATATGCAAGAACTTTCATTAAAGTTCATTAAATACTTAAGAATACTACATTATTTATAAATTACAAGAATTTCCCTGAGAAAAGTACAATTGCAATGAGCATAACGTTGTAATTTAACATTGTAATTTATTTGTTGAATATGACAATTTTGTTAGGCCAAAAACATACAACAGCGTCATATTATCATCAGCATTTTATGGGCTCGGTTAATCGTATGAAAAGAATGATACCAATAATCGGCATACCCTCTAAATTTGATTGGCGAGATAAAGGGGTCGTAGGACCAGTTATGAGCCAAGAGAATTGCGGCGCTTGTTGGGCGTTCAGCACTGTCGGGGTGGCCGAATCGATGTATGCCATCGAAAACGGAACTTTGCATTCCTTTAGTGTACAGGAAGTAAGTCCTTATATTCTCGACACGTTTTTCTATTTACTAAGCGAAGGAATTGCTCGAGGAAGTTCGCGTCAAATATAAATTTTATAAAAGCGCTTTCACGTGTGTTGAATTGTCGTTCATAAATATGTTGTACACATTAATGGGCACTAAAAAGTGACTAGGCTCTTATTTTAGCAGTTCCCTTGATTTTTCAGTCCTTAAATATAAGGACTATGCTTAGGTTGATATTATATTTGTCGTATGATACATTTTTCAAGTATGTTAATTGATTGTAGAAGAAGGTTTCGGATTTTTCTATCCTATAACCAATCAACTGACTTAAAAAATTTATCGTACGACAAATGTAATATTGATCTTATACGTTGGTAATTAGAAAAGTTTTGAGATTTAAAGCGGTCCCTAGACGATTAATAATATTATTATTCAGTCATATATTTCATAACATTATTGATGCTTCCTTTAGAGAATTGAATGTATGCTCAGTATAATTTTCAATCAAATCAGCCAATAATTTAGTTAATTCTTGTTATTAATTTAATATTTTAATTTTGATTTTACTTAATCATTAGTGACATGTATATTGACATTTGTGATTGCATTCAACAAAGTACTTGTAATGAGAATCAATCGACATCTGATCATACCGAGCAAGTTAACAATTAGAATTATCGTAGATAAATTTCTAAACTGGACAGCATTTTTATGATGGAACAGCTATCGTTCTACGTATGATAACGAGCGAAAAAAAGGGTATTTGATTAGTTTTTCAGAAAATAAATATAATCAGAAATGACAATTCAAAAGTTTTACTATCCAATGTCAATTTTGATGTAAATTAATGTAACTTATTTATAACGCTAAAAAGAATGAGCGGCGATCCTCGTAAATTGGTATTTTATTGAGTAGTAATAATTATAGATGGACGGATATACTTAAAACTTGATTGTTACAATAAACTGTATAAACTGTCAATATTGCCTCTAGACTATCAATAATACTGTGCAATATCAAATATTGTTCAATAATATTGATTATCTAGAAACCGCTTAAGTCGCACGAGGGACTTTTCGAGTGAGAAACCGATGCTTAATTCTATGAGAAGAAAATGATTAAAAATGAACAATCTCTTGAAAATCTCAAAACTTTTTAGATGTTTCTATTTATTAATTTGTCAGCCAATGTAGTTATTTATTTTTCGACGTCATACAGATGATCGATTGCATGCCAGGCAATTTCGGATGTCAGGGCGGTGACATATGCAGTTTACTCTCGTGGCTGTTGGCCTCAAAAACAAGAATTATATCTGAGATCGATTATCCTCTCACATTGCAAACCGACACGTGTAGATTGCATAAGTAGGTTGCATGCAAGGATGTTTTTCTTAGCGAAAACCGCAAAAGTATGATGACACTTGATCTTTCAGAATTTCTGCGAAGACGTCGGGAGTTAGAATAACGGACTTCACATGCGACAGGTAGTTTCATTTTTACTTGCATTATTATTTATAATACATTATTTTTTATTGTCTCATTATTTGTAATGTTTTATTTTTTAAACAATAAAAAAATGTATCTGTACAATTCCTCTTTTGCAATGAAAAATTTAAAAAGAAATCAGTTAAAATGGAGTAAAGGATGTAATATTGAAACAATATTATATTATACTAATTAATTAATTGTTTTATTATTAGGTGTTGGAATTAATTCGTAGCGTTTTTTAATGAAAGAATGTTATTTATTTCACATGAGCATTAAAAAATACATTAATAAAAGTATTTCCCATCACTTGTAAAACGCTACGAATTAATTCCAACACCTAATATTTATTTTTTCTGTGCGAAATGAACATCGCGAAATAAACATAATTCTTTGTTTTGCTGTGAGATTTACATCAATTTCCAAACTATGGCATTAACAAAGAGAGAGAGCCTGAAGGCTTTCGGCTGGACGCCACGCTGTCTAATATCTCGGCACTCGCGAATACTAATCGAGTTTGTTTCAGCTTTGTAGACGCGGAAACTGAACTTTTGACGTTGCTCGTTACTCATGGACCCGTGGCGGTTGCCGTGAACGCCATATCTTGGCAGAATTATTTAGGTGGCATAATACAGTATAACTGCGATAGTTCATTCAACAGCCTAAATCATGCGGTACAGATAGTGGGATATGACACGGAAGCTCGTATACCACATTATATCATTAAAAATTCGTGGGGACCATCCTTTGGCAATAAAGGTTACATTTATATTGCGGTTGGCAAGAATTTATGCGGTAAGTCAAATGAACAAGTGGGCATGTGACATTCACGCTAATTGATTTGAGTGCTTATTTCTTTGGGCGGATAAAATATCTTGACGTATATTCGCAGGTATAGCCAATCAGGTCTCTTCGCTCCAAGTTGTTTAATCAATCAATGAATGTTAAATTGCAACGTTTTCAATTTCTAACAAAATAAATTAATTAGTAGAGTAATGCTGTGAAAAAATATGACTGAATAAAATACTTTATTAAGAATATTGTTAATTATGTTTCTCATATTGTTTGTTATCTCAGAAAGCTATCAATATGACTGCTTTAATATAAAAGGTGATCCAAGACGAAAAGTTAATCTTTCGAAAAGTGAGACAGTGATATATACAATTATTAGAAACTATACACAGTCATATCTTCCTAAAGAGTCCGCCGATTTTTCTTGATTTTCATCTGTGTTTTCCAATCATACAGTGCAATTGATAACTTCGTTATCATTTGCTTTATCAACATACGAAACTGTGACTTAGTTAGTATCAAGAAGATCGACAATTAAAATTCAGAAAGATTTTGTATCTTTCACTTCTTATAATAACCGATTATGTTCGAGACATTGACTTTTCCTAGGATCATTTTGCCTAATCTAATTTATAATTTATGCATAGTAATTAATTAATAACTTAATTCTATTTTTTTATAAATTATCTAAAATTTGAAATTTTACTTTTTAACCTGTAAAAGTAGAATGGTGATTCTGAGACATTTTCCTAATTTTTAAATAGTATAATGATCTGAAATAATTTTATATTTCATAATCTTATTTTTCACTATCTTATTCTATTCATATAGGTATAGTCAAATGCAATATGGTTATTGTATTACATAGTTATATTTATATTTGTTAAGTTCAATTGTTGCAATTTTTTATATAGTTAAATATTTTAAAATTTGTAAAACAAATAACAGAAAACTTTAATAAACCTCATGGAACCATGTTCCCTTAGCATCATAAAAAAATGTGTATTTCAAATTAATTTTAACATTAAATTAATTTTGAGAGTCACGTATATTAAATCTTTTTTTAAAAGAAATATAAAATTTAAATGCTAAAAAGAAAAGAATTTGTTTTCAAGCAATCGTTTAACTGTATTACCTTATTATTGCATCAACGTGGCGCACATAATATATACTGACTATACGTTAGAGAAGTAAAACTTATTAGAGTTTCAGGAAGTTTGCTGTGTCATGGGCAGACTAATATATGAGCTTCTTAAAGAGTCTGCCGATTCATCTTGATCTTCGTCCATAATCCAATTGTACGATGCAATTGATAACTTCATTTTCATTTGCTTCGTCAACGGCGGGATCATATGACGTGGTACCAAGAAGGTCGATAGGTTGAACAAATCCAAAAAGACTTTGTATCTATCGCTATTCGTCGAAACAAACAAAATTTATTATTTGAAACATTATTATATTTGCAAATCAGTAAATTGCATCAAGTTGACTAAAGTCTTACGAAATGTATAATATATGCGTTTCTAAAGTGACATAATAAAAAATAATTAATAAATTATCTAAGAAAATCAGTTATCTAGATAAATAAAAATTTATATTAAATTATCGATAAACAAACTTATACTATTATAATGACTTAATTACTTTTGACGTTATAATAGTAATATTTGTGCTGATGATAAAAATTCGTGATATTTTTATGTTGCCATTAATGAATTTTTTCAGTGAATAAATCATTTGATATCAATTTTCATCATTAATTATCAATCATATATTTATATTAATTGAAGCAGACAAATACCTTAACGTGGACTTCAAATACTGATAGCCGGAAGAACCACCAGTACCTAATTGTTGAGAACCGATCATTCTTTGTACCATGATAACATGATTATCTAAAAGTGTAAAAGAACACGTATTCTAATCAATTTTAATTTATAATCAATTTAAGATAATGAAATATGATACAAGATAAGATTATATAATGGAATATAACTCATACAATGTAAGTGTATTTTCATCACGTACAATAATAATATTGACAATTTAAAATTTTACATATTAAAATTTCATAATGATAACTTTATATATGTACATATGTAAATACATATAATATGACCGATAATAATAATTATGTGCTTTTGAATGCTGCACGAAAATTCAAAAAAATACTGGTAGTTGTGAATGTTGTAAAAAAATTTAAAATATCGATTATTTTAACTGTTATAAACAAATTAAATAAAATATCGATAAAATAGATTTTAGTAAAATATGCATATTAAAAAATATAGATGTGAATTCAACATACCACGCGGTATATATAATTCATCGTGTTGATATTAATGATTACGTGATGTGATTTTAAAATCTACATGGTATGTATAATAATATTACCACGATATGGATTAAAAACTCATAGTATTAAATCTATGGCATTAAATCCACATCTATATTTTTTAGAAAGTCAATATAAATAACAAGATGCTAATAAATGTTTTCTCTTACACCTCCACTTCGTAATTAGAGAGTCAATGTCCATTAGCGCCGTGAGGATCTGATGTGGCTGACTAAATCGTGGTTCATCTCGATATAGGGTGATCATTATTGCTCCCTGAAGAGCACTGTGCGAAAATCTGCGTTCCCCGCGCGACACAAGAGCGTTGTGAAGTGATTCGTTGAAGATGCTATCGAAAACTGCTTGTCGCGAGCGTACATTAGCGAAATGATAGTCTTTAATGCATTCCTTTGACAGTTTCTGAAAAGTTAATAAATTATGAATAACCAATTATTCTGAAATTCGAAAACAAAGAAATAAGATATTATGTATATTTAGACAAGTCTTTTTATGTCTGTTCTGTCTTGCAGTTTTCAATTTTACAGTTTTATGATAATCTCTTTAATATTAATTAAGTTTTAAATTATATAATAATTGAGCTTTAAATTAAATTTCTTAGCAAATGTTTATTAATATATTATATATTAGAAAGCAAAGTTTTCATTTTTTTATTATTTCGTTATTTATTTTAGATTTTTCTAAAGAGAATTTGTTGCCGAAATTGTTAAAAAAGTACAAATATCAAATAATTTAGTGTAACTAAATTATAACTGTTTGGAATTACGAAATTAGTAAGGTTGAGCGTAATTACATGTATGGCTTGTTCTTGCTCGGTCAACATCTTCTCCACTGCTCGTTTGTATTTTCCCCAAAAATCAAAATCATGTGTCTCGAGCCCTGGCGTTCTGCTCAACCAACTCTGAACCAGAGTACTGAGACTGTGCTCCTCCTCAGATCGCTTAATCGCCTCGATAGCTTCGGGATCCCTCCCGAAAATCTTTATGTAATTATATTTGACCCTGAGTTCTTGTTTTACACCCAATTTATTCTCCAATAGACGGAATTGCAACGATTGGAAACCCGAAGCCGGGCATAATAAGTCCCTAAATGCCATGAAATCTAACGGTGTCATAGTTTCCAAAATCGTCACTTGCTCCACCAATAGCTGCAAATCAAGATTTGTTTGTGTTAATTCTTATCGCGTTTTTTATTAGCAGAGCTAGTGCACGTGAAACTGTTGTACACAATTCTAATATAAATGTAAAAGTGAGAGAGATATCTCAATTGATAAAATGCCCAATGTATTTATCAAAAAGCACAATAAAATGTATTGAATATTTTGCGGTTTAATTCGTGTTTATATTTTTATTAAATGTACAATTTGGTTGATTTGTGTAACGGTTTTAAAGTGCACTGAGTGCGCACTAGTTCTCGCCAATGAAAATGCTATTAGTATTTTGTCAGTTTGTTAAAAAAAAGAAACGACACAGATAAATTACATTGTTAAATGTATATAATACTAAGAATTTAAAAAATTCTATTTTTTATAATTTTATTTCGATAATTTATAATTTTATTTTTATACCGTAATTATATTAATTAATTATTCCTTTTGTATTTTTTAATTTTTGTTAAATTTTTTTATACATTTATGACTTTACTTTATATTTTATAATTTATTCATTTTGGCTGAAGAAAAGTTGAAAAGTGGAAACTGTTACCATTACGTTTTAAAATAAAATTTATTTTTATTTAACATTTTTTTATTACTCTTCTTGCTCTATTTCTTTGTTTTAATATTATATTAATCTTTGTTTTTATTATATTACTTATGTTAATCTCTATTTTAACAAAAGCAAGATAAATTTTGCTACTAAAAGACATGATTAAATAAGATCGAGGTCTTGTAGCTGCGAAAGAACATCTTGAAACGTTCTCATCGATTTGTCAACGCGACTGCATTCGCACTTCTATGGGTGCCAGTGCAAGCGAAGGGTGCGTGAGCGACATAATACGTTAATACAATATTATAATGCATTGCTAGGTGCATCTGGAAATAAATGTAGTATAACTGTATCCTTTAAAGAACGCAAGAATAGTTCTTTTGACACGCAGATTTAACGTTATGTCACAATTCGTAAATTTTAATGCATTCATGTACATCGCATAGATCAGATATTACATTTGTAGTATATCTTCCAAATATCTTCCGATATTGTGTATCAAAGACAAATTCGCGACAGTTAGTCGCTTCGATCGGAATTGTATTTTGAAGCATTCAATATTACGCGCTCGTGCGTATCGAGAATGCAGTATCGCGGAGAGACGTTTTATCGAATAAAAATAAAGAAAGGTACGACCGCACCTTCTGTGGTATTGAAATAGAGTAACGGGTTTGTTATCTAACGTACCGTCTCTGTTCTCCCTTTAATGCATGCACAAGCGCCCGGTGTCGTATATCGTCTAGAAATATTATCTTACTGTGCCTCCGCAGGGTGCCTTATGCGGTTCCCACAGTCTTATTTATCTCATATCATGCCTAAATCGGGTAAAAAAAATCACGCCATGTCGCGTACTTGATATGTCAGCTATTACGAAATATTATCTAGGTTATCGTGAAGAAGCGAATGACAAAGAAGCTATCAAAATTTATAAATATAATTATTATTCCTAACAAAGCATGTTATATATAAAGTACGTATATTAGGCCTGTTCTTCTTCTAACGTGAAAAGTGAAAATTTTTTGTATGTGTGTATATGTACATGCATACATACATACATAAAATTTTTCACTTCTCACGTTTTCGCTCTAAAGAAAAAGTTACTTGATCGATACCCTGGACTTCTTGCACGATTCAACTTTTGTCTTTTTCTCTCTAATGTGAAAAAAAAGAAATAAACCATGCAAAGAGTTCAGTCTTGAGATATGAAAAAAAACAGATCTATGAATTATATATATATATATATCCGATGTTTGTGAAATATATAAGAGGATGTAAGAGAAAGTGTCACGGTAAATAGCTTTGTCTGGTGAGACAGAAAAATTTGATTAAAGGGACATGCAGTCTGTGGCGAACTAATTGGCTTGTAATTAAGGGCCGTTCACCTTGCATCGTCATTATTATTATAAGCGGATTTCTGCGAAATAGTTATTTGGCAAGTCGCTATATATAATTACATATAT